GCCCCACAAAGCCCTCTCTGTTGGCAGCTCTCACAGCGCTGTTGTGCGCGCGGCGGGGCCGGCCCCGCGGATCTGCCCTTCTTCCCCAGGCTTACCCGAGATTACTGCCGCAGCTTAAGGGACACATGCAAATGCCAAGGTCCCTGCAGCCCACGGCCTGGCACCTGCCAGGCGCCCGCAGCGCTGGGAAACCTCTCCTGCAGGGTCCAAGTGCTGGGGACGCTTGCACGGACCAGGAAGATCCGTGTCCTGCCTTGGTAAAACGGGCCCGGTTCCTGCAAGGGGCAGCAGCACTGGCTGTGGCCGGAAATGCTCTGGATACCTAACGAGTCCCCAAACGCGACTGGTGCCCACGGCCTGGCACCTGCCAGGCGCCCGCAGCGCTGGGAAACCTCTCCTGCAGGGTCCAAGTGCTGGGGACGCTTGCACGGACCAGGAAGATCCGTGTCCTGCCTTGGTAAAACGGGCCCGGTTCCTGCAAGGGGCAGCAGCACTGGCTGTGGCCGGAAATGCTCTGGATACCTAACGAGTCCCCAAACGCGACTGGTGTCACACGAGGCTGTCGCACGCACAGGCCTGTGGCACAGATGGTGCCGCTCCTGCACGGCCACCCCACGCCTCCGGCCAGGCCTTCGGCTTCTCCCTGCTCACACCCTGCTCCAAAGCGCTCTGGGCACGGAATTCCCGGCAGCGCCCGGAGCAGCCCCAAACCCCCTCGAAGCACCGCACAGCTGATGCCGAAGAGCAAAACGCAATTACACGCAAGGGCAACGAGAAGGCAAGGCCAAGCCAACGGAGACGGCCAAGCCGAGGGCCTTAGTCCCGAGCAGCCCCCAGGCCGGGCTCGGCCTGGGCTCCTCGTGCCAGCGCTCCAGCGCTCCGGGACGGCTCACCCAGGGACACGGCCTTCCCGTCCGCTAGCTGCAGCCCCGGGCATTCTCTGGGCACGGAGGCGGGAGGCAGAGGGCTGAGCGGAGGCCGGGAGGCCCGGCCCGCGCCGCCCCCGACGGCCGCGGGCCCGGGAGCAG